CAGCATACTCGAATTGTATCATGAAAGTACAGCAGAACTTACAGTCTGTAGTGACAAATGCCCTGTCCACCTCGGTGAGTGCCTCACAGCAATACTGCAACGTCTCGGCTATGTCGTGCGTGCGCCGTAAAGGGGTCTTTTCGTCCAAGAGGATGTCGAATTCCGCCCAGACGCCGTCTCCGGCGTGGTACGCAGTGACGGACTTGAAGCCTGACACGACGCTGCTGAAGCGGTAGGCGAGGTAGATCAGTTTCTTCTGCAGCGAGTCATCCACGGCCAGGCCGCACAACCGCGTGACGTTCTCCAGACACGTGTCTGCCCAGTCGTAGATGATGTACAGCGACAGCAGCGCCGCGCCCAGGGGATCCAGCCACCACACACCGGCCTGTTTGCCAATGAGTGGGAAGAGCAAGCTGAGGGTGTTGAAATAGACGTCTGTTTTGCAATCCTGCACCAGGGCTTGTACTTGGGTGGTTTTGATCCTCAGGCAGCCCAGACCGATCAGGCCTTTGATTCCGACCGTTCCGGCCATGGAGGCAATGGCCAATGCTGGCAGTGTGGCTATCGAGTGATCTCCGCTCGGTAGCAGCTTCTCGACAGACTCTTGCAAGATCTGGATGAACGAGATGACCATGATGATGGAGAAGACCAGAATTCCGATCGGCTCCAGTCTCCGCCGACCGACAGGGAACTTCCGCGCTAGAGCCGAAAGCCTCCACGAGACCAGCCTGGTGGTCGTCCAGACGATGACGGTGCATAGCAGATCCAACGCAGAATCGAGCAGTGAAGCGATGAGCGACAGAGACGACGACTTCAGGGCTGCGATCCCCTTGGCCACGAGGAGAATGACATTGGCGATGACGTTGATGTTGACGGCCCATCGGGCGTTTCGGTCGGCCTTTGCCCGTGCGCTTCGAACGTCTTCTGGCAGCAGCGCGTCGATGTGTTCCTCCACGTGCTGAAGTCGGCCTTCTCTCTCGCGGATCCCGTCATGATCGGCGTCCGTATTCATGCTCTCTAGGACTTCGTCCGCCATGGCCAGCACGATGGTGTCGACTTCAGCCCAGTCGTTCAGCACCGCATTCTGCTTTTCGTAGAATTTGCGAACCTTCTTGTTCTTGATCTTCTTGATCTGTGTTGTACGCCAACAAACACGTCAGTCAGCACCCCGTCCTCCTCGTGTGTGCAACATGGAGGTACTAGTACTTATGATATGTACCTCTTCTTCACTTTTCCTGTACTTTTCAAACTCTCTTCTGTCGACACCAGACCGCAGTTGTTCCTTCAATGCGGCGGTCGTTCGGCGATCGAGGGCATATTCCACGGCATCTTTGAAACCGGCAAACCGTCTTTGCTCATGATGACCCGATTCCAGATCGGGGTTCCGCCAGCGGTCATCTGCACGCGTCTTGGTGGTGTTGAGTGTCCGCTTTCCCACCATCGGGCCGGGGCTGCGATCGAGTCCTGGACTGCAGTGAAGAAGAGGGTGAGCGAAGATTCGGGGACCGGCAAGCAGCGTCGAGGACAGAGGAGACTGGAAATGAATGGTCTGAAGCAACCTGGAAACACAGCGGCGAGGGAAGAACCAGGTACAAAGTACAACTGGCTTGATGGCGGCCATTAATATTGATCTTGATGCTGCCGTGGATCTCTAAGATCCCCTGCATCGATGACGGCATTGAACCAACCGTTTCCCTGTTTCGTGCCCAGAAGCCGCGTGGCGGGCTACCGCTGCTGCCGCTTGGGGAAGCTTGCTTTGGCGAGCGATTGCTTAACAGTTAAGTGGGCCGTGCTGGGCTTACTGTAGAAAGTTAGCCTGCGACTCCGCGACGGGGGCTCAGATTAGCAGGTCGATCAAGAGTCTTTTTGCATTTTGAATGCTTCTGTATGTTCGCACGAGTCCACACTGTCCAAATCGTAGACATGGAGTCGTGCCTGAGCACTGAGTCAGTACAAATGTTCGTTTCGAGCCCTTGGTCATGCTCTCGGCGAAAGCTGCTTACCTCTACTACACTGTACTTGTATTCAGTACTTCTCCAAGGTTCTTCTGCAGGTTGTTCTCGTCGGTGCCCTGTACAGCTTTGGCCAACAACCGTGGTCACTCTAGTCCTCCACCTACGGTTCTTCATGATGACCTTGTACTAAGAATGCTTTCATTTTGAGTCCTGCCATGCTTTCAACTCTCCCCGATTGCTACATAGTACCCGACTAAGTTAGTCTCCCGAAGTGTTGACATTGATCGGAGGGCTTGGCTGAGCGGTCCCACTCTGCCTAGCCGTCCTCCGCCCTCACCACCCTCAGCGCTTTCGAGGTCGTGGAGTGTAAAAGCACAAGATACATACGTCGTACTACTGTATTGTACTTGTACTCTGCACATGAAGCCTTCTCTTCCAGATCGCAACTTCCACTTTGCAAAGTTCTCATCTTCATATGCCAACTTCGGATGTGTTGCAACAGTGAAGCACAAGTGAGTCTGAGGCGAGGCGGAGATGATGAGGTCGCCAAATATTTAATTCTGGCCTCAATGACCAATGTATTTAAATGACGGCACAGATTGACCCTAACGCTGCTGCTCTTTCCCGCCGTGTCGAAGTTCTTCCTGCCATTTCTTCAAGTCCTCCTCTAGTACTACAGTAGTGTACCAAGTAAAGTAAGTACATTATGTACAGTAGTAGCTGCGACAGGATCTAACAGTGCACACATGTGGAGCTCAGTGAGCGAATGTACAGGGTCGCTCACAGCTTGCGAGAGTACATGGTACATATGTACGTAGTACAGAGTTGTCAGAGGATTAATACCTACATACTGTACTAAGTAGTAGTATTGTCTATTCTTTGGGCATAAGTACAGTATGTAAGTACTTGCAGAGTGGCCGGAGGCGGTTCCGATGATGCACCGCGCTCACGGTCAGGTGATAGGGAGCCCGTAAAGTACTTAAGTTAAGTACACAATGGAAGTAAGTACAGTACATAGTACACTATGTAAGTACATACCCTACCTAGGCATAACATCGAGCTGAGATTGAAGTTAGACCAGTACACACCCTCTTTGGGCGAGCAGGAATACTTACTACTTACTTTGTGCCAAGTAGGTATGTACGGTACAGTATAGTATTACACAGCAACAGCGACCTTCAACAGAGCTTCAATTTAGAGCACCACGATCGTCCTCGTCGGTTCGGACCCTCTGCACTTCACGAGCGACATGATGGGATATAGACTCTAGCATCACATCGGATGTAACTTCAAAAAAAACAATACCGTGTACGTCGTCAACGTTGCCGGAACAAGGTGGCACGGACTGGCAAATCTCTTGGAGTTCGCACTCTGTTCAGACGTAGAACTGCAGCGCTTGTAGTACATAAGTACCCAGTACTATGTAGTACTAGTACTGTCGTGCTAGAGTCCATCGCTCTCACGGGAATATAGTGACTTGCGCTTTCGATATACAGCGAAGAATACAATATAATACAGATAGACCTTAATAGAGAGCACTAAATTCGCTCCCGGAGGTTTAGCTTGGTTAATGCATGAACTAGATTACTATATACGGAAAGTATTGGTTGCCAAGCAAGCTTGGCTCAAAATGCGGAACCTCCCCAAGTTGTTTGCGACTTATGGGACCTCCAAGCAGCAGCAGCAATAAATCTATGTACTCAAGTATGTAACACTCATGTCCACTTCAGCTTCATTCGCTCTCTGAACTTCTGAACTTTGGAAGAGGATGATGGAAAGAAAACGCGGCGACGACTAGTGTGACTTGCCATCGCCGGCGAGTAAACTGTAAGGCCTCACTTTTCGAGCAAACTCCTTGACCGCTCCCGCCGTCTCTGAGGGCGCTTTCGACGATCAACATTTGGTGGGTGCTGAAAGAAAACCGATTGTCCACGATGCGAGGCAGCCAATGTTGAATGCGCGGGATGTAGATGAGCAGAGACGACAGATCGTCTCCCCACCGCTTCGAGATACATACTGTATATATGTAGTACTTACTACTTAGGTACTTAGTAGACTGTGGCTCCAACCGCGCTCGCGATGGCCTCAGCAGCCTTTTACATCCGAGAAAGCGGACACACTCTCGAAGCCGTACCCCCAATTTTGCAAAGATGGCCTTCCGCTCATGCATGGCACTCACAACGAATCCTCGTCCGGACCAGAGGCCACATGCTCGACCGCCCATCATCAGATTCTGTTCAGAACACTGCCCCAGCCGTTCCATGCGGAGCACTTGGAGTTCTGGAGAGATCGACTGCATAGTACCGCCGCATTTAGTGATGTTCATCGCGCAGTGTTTATACTGTCGACTCCCAACAGACCTGAACCGAGCAGGGGTTTGGACGCAAATGTCGTTGCCGTCCACATCAATCTACACTGAGGTCGTCCAGCGAATACATATCCAAGCTCTCTCAACAACGGGTGGAGATTTCGCTGAGAGTCTTCGTTGGCACACATCAGTTGTTTTGCTCGCATATTTTGGAATACTAAGTAAGTACTGCGTACTACGGAGTATAATGTATACAACGGAGCTCTCCGCGCTGCCAGCTCGTGTTAACATTTCATAGTGTCTGTTTGGGAATAGAGCAGCCGCCGTCGGGCATACCATACTACCAATGATGCTGCTCACTATGTACTTGTACTACTATGTATGTATGTACCTTCGCATGCGATCGGACGAGAATCAGAGATGGGACACGCTTGTTTCGCAAATGAATTCGCCATGGACACACATGCCACCTAGTTCGGAGCAGAAGTAACATGATTCCGAGAAGAGAGGAGCTTCTGTCTTCTGTCGAAGGAAGTCAAGGGCATAGAGGTGAAGGGACGGCTCTGTCAGTGGTTGGAAATACAACCAGGGTTGTTCACACACGACCGAGCACGGAAGTGCCCTAAAACGTTGTAGCATACGGAGTACTGCGGAGGCGAGTACATAGTACGAACCATTGTAAGAGTCACAATTGGTAGTTACATGCAAAAATGAAAGTTTCATTACGCTACATAAGTTTATCTCACCCGTCTATTGATCCGGTGGACGGACTTGCCAACTTGTTTCAAAGCAGTAAGCAACGTCACATCGTTTTCTCTCTTCGTGATGGACGCAGCCGTTCCGTTGAGGCTGAGCGGCGCGAAGTCTTCTTCCCATGTCTCGCCGGAAAACAACGCGACGTCAGGTTCACAGACCGTACCAGGTGCCGGCAGTACACCATCGACGAAATAGGACTGCACGGCCCTGGCTGAGCAGAGGCCCGGTTGCGCGAGTGAGGTGTGCTGTAAATCGTAATCAAGTCATGTCAGTGATGCCGACCTCCTTCGTACAGTCAGTGAGGTGGACGTGGAACTTACCCCGTAGCCGTTATGCTGAAGGACAACACTGCCTTCGAAGGAGGCGCTCGTATTCTGTGCGCTGATCAACGGTGTTGCCGGGTCGTAACTGTTGCCGATGATCAAGATGGGATGCTTGGTCTGAACGTGCCAGTCGCCCGAGTATATCTCCTTGGCGGTCTGCTTCCAGCGGACAGACTGGATCGCGTTTACGAGGCCAAAGTCCAGGCCGCCCCATTTGCTGGAGGCGGTGACGGCGCTGATCAGGGGATCGAGAGTCGTGAGATTGTCCGTCCGGAGAGCCTGTTCGCCGAACTCGATTCCCTGGAGAGCTTGGTCTGATTCGCCCCCTTCGCCTCCGCCGGTCAAGATCGTGAACACTTCGAAGAACCCGGTCAAGTTGCCGGTCAATAGGAACTGAAGGCCCTCCGCAAGCAGAGGCCACGCGTCGGGAGAATAGAGTTGGGAGAACATCACTTGCTTGACCGTGCTGTAGTCGATCAGCATGGACGTGCCTTCATATGGGGCGAGGAGTTCGTTGTTGGCGTGGCCTTTAATTGTGACTGGAAGAGGGTTCGTCTTGAGGCTCTCCAGTAAGTCATCGACAGTCTGTGCCAGTTGTTCTGCGGTTTGGTTCAAGCCTGCTAGGGCACACAACTCGGACGTAACGCAGCCAGAGAAGAAGCCGGCTACAGTACCGTCGACGCTGGCGAGGGTGCTGACGTCCCTACAGAGGCGTTAGTGAGGCCTGGGTGTGAAATTATGCTGGCGTACCATCCAGAGTAGTATTCATGGACATTGACATTCCCGTCAATCACGATTTTGCCGACCTTCTCGGGAAACATGGCTGCGAAGGTGGCTCCCAGCACGGTGCCATACGAAAACCCTGAAAACAAATTAGAAGATGCTCTGGAATCATTCTCTTCATCTGCTTCTGCTTACCCCAGTACCGCAGTAGTCCATCTTCTCCGAGTGCGTCGACTATGCGAGCCATATCCCGAGCAACGAAGGCGGTACCAATGAGACCTCCAATATCTTTGGTCGCGGCCAGACATTGAGCAGCTTGAATTTCGGCATTGGCGAAATTCTGACCTATAGCGACGTCGGAAGCGTTGCTCAACAAGAGCGGGACCCCGTCATAGAGATCACTGTCGCAGACATATGGCAGAGTGTTGTTCACGCCTCTGGTTGGGTTAGCACCACGGAGTTGATTTCGGTTCTCCCAGAGTGTCGTCGATCGGACATGGGGCAAGGGGGGCATACCTTGGGTCAAAGCCGATCAGATTGAACTGGCCGCCGAGGACACTGAAAGGGTCAGCTTGCGGGATCGTAGCAGAAGCCATTATGCTCACGTCATTAGTTGTTGGGCGCGTCCGATAACGAATTGAACGCCACTACCTCCCGGACCACCAGGGTTGAACAACACACTGCCCTTGACGGGCTTCCGGACGGCGTCGAATCGCACAAGTGTGAGATCCAGTGTTTTTGTCGAGTTCGGTTTCGTATAGTCGAGGGGAACAGAGAAATCAGCACATTTCATGGGTAGAGGACTCTCGCCAGCAAGCGTTTTGCACTTTGTACTCCAGGTAATCTTGGTGTCACCAACGACACTGGTGTTGGCTCTGGTGTGCAGCTGGGGGAGAGCGAAAGCCCCCACGACGAGGGAAAGGACAGAAGGAAGTTGGATTAGCATCTTCATGTCGATTGAAACGGTGAGAGACAGGAACGAACGACTTGGTAGAACCCGCAGCGCCAGAGCACGAAAAGGAGATGGCCATCAGACAATTCATATATTGCATCCTCTCTTGAGCCAGCAAAGATCCCAAACCGTTTCTGTTGGATCCTCCCTGCGGCATTTGACATGGCGCAGTCCCAGGGCAGTTTGCCTCGTAGGCTGTAGGATCCAATCCTTCTTCAGGTCTTGTCACTCATCTTTGACTGGGGCTCGGCTGAGCACAACGGTCAAGGCTCTGGTTGGCGAGGTAAATACATCAGGATTAGGCTAGACGTCAGTCAGTGAGGTCCGAGGCGGAGGAATAGCGGCGGTCGATGGTCCTTGACCTCTTGCTACCAGCAGATATTGGGCGATTCAAAGATCTTAGGGCCCCAAAGCTCATTCCGTGGTAGCGTTACCAGCCCTGCGGATTCCACTGCAGTGGAGCTAAGATGGGGCCATGCAAGTCACTCACGGAAAGTCAGCGCTTGCAACCGAATGACCAATGGGTCAAGTAAAAGCGGCCGTGCGTACTATGTTAAGGCAAGCCGCATGATTCATTCAGGTGGTTCTTTCCAGAAAGAGCGAGGGCGAAAAGCCAGAGGAGGCTCTGCTGATATCTGACACGGCGAATCCTCTGTTCTCTGTGCTTCTGTTGTGTCTACGGGAAACCCACGCGGTCTGGCAAACAATCCGCAGATGCGACATCCTCAATGATGGAAGACTCTACTCCGTACCAGGTCACCATAATCACATTAGCCAGCTGAGATGTCTCAGCGCCCCGTACAGTTGTTGAACACCGGTGTTGCTCTGCGTCGCAAGGTCGTTATTCGGCCGACCACAATGAAGACGTAGCGTGAAAAAGAAGAATGCACGTTTGTCCGGTGATGGACCAAGAGGACTCTTGAGGATGGTCATTTGGAAGAGCAAAGAGGAACGGAACCATTGGTGTTGGAGTGGGCAACATCAGAGAACAAGAATTGCAAGCAACAGGAGAAGCTTGGCCACCGGGTCGCGAAGCCTAAAGCTGAGCCGCCTAAAGCTGAACCGCCTAAAGCTGAACCGCCTAAAGCTGAGCCGCGATGCTACTGTAGACTTTGGGCGAGCTCCTACATGCAGTACCTAATGTAGGTAGGGAGTACGCATGCGGCTCCCCGGATCCCAGCTCTGCGTGCCTAACGTGCATTCTGCAGACACATTCAGCCCCATTGACGCCTACGTTCTGGATACTCTTGCCACGGCCACGAGAACAGAGGTCTCAACGCAACACCTGAACCCTGCTCTTGCCAATAGGACATACATCAGGGCAATCGTCGCAGCATTCTACTCGTGCAGCTATAGTCACCTCTGCTCCTTGGTCCGTTCCAGACCTCCATCGTCAAAGCGTCGGGAACTAGAGGGCCAGGAGCTTTCCAGCCCAAGATGATTTGACATTGCTTTATTCTTACAGCCGTTAACCAAAACGTCTCCGGCTGACCCCATAACGTTACTCCAAAGCTCATCCTGTGGTGTTCCCCCTGACCTGGGATGGATAACTAACTCCAGTCCAAGCCCACGAGCTGGAAATCCAACGTGGCATGCCAGCACGATCTTCAATATGGCGTACCATCTGTGCAGATCTTGCACGGTATCCTCATTACTGACTTGCCATCTTCCCCGTCAAGGCACCCTCAGCAATCTGGATCAGCCGTCGTGCTTCCTCGACTTTCTTGCTGTCGAGGAATTCGAGGATGTGCTGAATCCTGTCACCGGCATCGTTGAAGGTGAATATGAAGATATATTCCCCTTCATAGGACCAGTCGAGATCCGGATCACTAGCCTTTGCCGCTTCCTTGAATTTTGTTCGGCCGGTCGCCCAGACCGTGATTTGATTGTTCCCCTCGTATATCTGCTTGGCTGTGACTGGAATGCCTTCGATAACACGCTGCACGGACTTCATATGGCTCTCGAATTGCTCATTGTTCTTTGCTCCTATTCCCAGCGATGCTGGGGCGAAGGTATGCTGGCAGTCGGCTGTGCGAAGGGCAATGTTGGCCTCATAATCGAGGTCCTTGAAGGTATCTAATAATGCAAGAGCAGTTTGCCGCTGTTTCGACATTTCGAGACTCGTGGTAGATGTTGATGCTGGCCGGGCGAGGTCTTCGGGGAGGTGTTTCTCGACCTGAATTTAAGGGCAAGCCTAAGTCCGCGTTGAACCTATCTCCGATCTACTGTCTTTCAGTCCATTTGCTTGGTCACACGGTGATCCAATCAACGAGATAGGACGAGACGAGACGGACGGGAATGAGAACGGACCCTGCTGAGCTGAAAGTTCTGGCCACGAAGGGTGAAGAGAGCTGCCGATCGGAACCTGCACTCAGGCATTATGATAAAGGGTTGATATCGTTCGGAGGGCTCGAACAGAAACTGCAACAAATGCCATAACCATGAAGTAGGTACTCTTAGATCTCTTGCTTCTGGGAAGGGAGGGTTTCGTGCCAAGCGCTTCGACGAAAGACTTTCATAGTCTACAAGCAAATCGCTGGACTTCGCGAATCATTCTGCTAATGACTGGGTTGATCAACCTACCTCACGGTACATCGAGAACACCTCGTTACATCTGACCGACACACGACGTGCCGCCTTTCTTTATCGTTGCTGATAACCGGTGAAAAGCTCGAGGCATAGGGAGTGTGGGAGTTACGTGTGCTCCGTCTGTAGTGACACCTGTGTGAGTGATCTGTGAGTGATGGGTGATTGATCTCCGACTCAAGAGGTATGACATCATGGAGGTTAACACCGCGTACGCGCCGAGAACGCGCACGAACGCGTCGCTTCGCACAGCGCCAAAATAGATGAGTTGTAGTGCCAGATCAGTTTGCTTCATCGCAAGTCTACATTGCGGCGATCATCTACTATGCCTCCCTTGCTGGAGCTCTCTACGGTGCGTCTCTCTGCCTGCTTCTCCTCTCAAACCGCCATATAAAGTCCTCCGGACCTTCCACCTTACCACACCAGCCTAGTGCTCTAAACTCCAGTCCCGTGTAACGGAGATTTCCCGGTCAAACATGGGTTTGCATGGTTTTGTCTTTCAGCGGTTTCCATCATCATGCGGGACAACATACCCTTCTGCAGCAATGTGACCAAAGGAGCTGGGGACATTATAGTCAGGGACTTGCTCCCGCTCTGGTGTCCCGGCCAGCCGTATCTCGAAGTGGCTTTTTGGCAATGTTAGAAAAGCGGGCTTAAAACGAAATGGCAATAATGTGCTGGTATGCTTGCTCACGCATGGAACATTTCACGCCCTTTCGGCCGTCAGCGACTCGCTGGACATTCATTTACAAGCACCGCCAGGAGTTATCCCGTTGGACGTCCAGCAATTCTGTGCAAGCTGGTCAACAATGGAAGAGCCGTCGCTGATCTACTGTTTTCCGTACGAAGAGAAGGCTTCTGTGCTACCAGAATACTTGGTACTGGCGAATAGTCGGAGACCGAAGCAATTTACAAGAAGAGGCACCACACTTGATTTTAGCTCTCTCTCAACACCGGAAGATTGGCTTTATTGCTCACTGGCTTGTTATAGGACAAACCGCGTTCCTACTGTCGACGGAGCCAGCCTTCCGGGCATCACCCTTTCGATCTCATACTTCGCCCTCCATCCCGAACAATGGCCAGGCATCAGCACTCGAGGATTCAGCCCGTTAAGCTCCGCCACAGTATCTTTGATCCATGCTTCGTTTGGCCCAACAAGGTGGTAGCCCCCGATCACTGCATATAGCGGGACATTGCCACCAGCCAACTGCAAGGCGTGCTTGACTACATTCACCACTCCGGCATGGCTACATCCCGTGAAGACTACCAACCCCTTGCCTGCGGTATCATCAGCCTTGACCTGAGAAGGGAGTGCGGCTCTTACCCTCCACGTTACACATGAGAAAGCGCTCGTCCAAAATCAGCTCGTCACTTTCCCAGCTGTTTGTCTCTGGGTTGAACCTCATCCCACGCTGAAATCCCCTCTCATACGGAGTGACACGCGGGATCTCGCCGGAAACAAGAAACATATCCTCTAGAATGGAGTGCGGCTGATCGTTTTTCACCACCTTGGCTCCAGCGGCCTCGATTTCTTCGAACGTCGGGTCTTTCTCAAGCGAAACAGGACCAAAAGGCCCCAGAAATCCACGGTATGTCGGTCGGTTTGGATGAAGGTCGACAGGAACGCCTGTTGTTCCCTTTGCCTCGTTAATCATAGACACTGCTTTCAACATGCCTCCTGAATGGTCACGGTGCCAGTGAGAAAGTTGGATCCATTCGACAGACCCAAGCTGGGCTCTCAGCCGTTTGGCATTAAGTTCCCAGATATGCTCTTCGGGTGCTGTGTCGAACAAGACAGTATGGCGCTTGTCGCCCTTCATCGCCGTCTAGGACAAAGTCAGCTACAGCAGCTCACTGGTGCCAGATCCTTACAATCATCAATGACAATCCATGGGCACCACAGCACACATTGTCAAGTCGGATCTCGAACTTGGACTCGCCTCTGCTCCCCTCCGGCAATGGCGCTCTAAGGGCCACATCTGCCAGCTGACCAACGACCTTTAGGTCGGGGTGCTGGTATGAAGAGATGGGGTCGACCTCGTTATCAACAATCACCAGGATCTCAAGCGAGTCGATCTCATCGAGCGCAGCCATGATTCCAACGAACTGCTGATGTGGTGGTTCGGGGGGCTTTCAGCGACGCGGATGCACGGATATCAGCTACAGCGCTTGGCGACGTCCCTTGGCAGGCGTCCACGAACCTTCGCCTCGATCGATGTGTCCGTGTTAGTGCCTCTTTAAGTTGTCAACAACGAGTATACCTATGCGATGTTGTCCGAAAGTATGACGATTTGGCGATTCGGGATCTGTCACGCGGTGTTGGTGCTTGTGACACATGTGCTGCTGGTACGATGTGTCGGGGGCCTGAATTGGACGCCTCGCGAGGACGGCATGAATAGACCCTCCCCTTAATAGATGGCCAAGTTCCCAGTCCAGATCGATATGCAGGCTCTTTTTATTCCAACGAAGCATGGATCACGAGCTGGCGAATCTCAAAGCCTTGTTGTTGCCGGATGAAATCCTTACAAAGAATTCGTCTGGCTACGAAGAAGAGTCCAGAACTTGGGCGGTTCAGGCGAACCGACATCCTACGACTGTGGTCATTCCGAAGACCGTCGAAACGCTCAGCAAGATCATCTCTTACGTGAGTCGCACCAGTCTCGACATCGGCATCCGCTGTACTGGTATCGGAAATGCCACGGCGAAGGACGTCTTGATCTCCTTGTCGGAATTCAAGTCATTCTCATTCGATCCGCATGAGGAGACAATTGTCTTTGACGCCGGTCATTGCTGGGGGGAGATTGACCAGAAAGTGGAAGAGCAAGCACCTGGCTACGCAGCAGTTAGCGCACGGGTTTCTTATGTTGGTGTCGGCGGCTCTATTCTCCACGGCGGACAGAGCTGGCTGAGCTCTGAGCACGGCCTCTCGTCCGATCCACAGAACTTACTCGACGCTCAAGTGGTCAAGATGGATGGCAGCCTTGTCTGGGCAAGCAATGAGCCGGATCTTCTTTGGGCATTGCGTGGCGGAGGTGGTGGCTTCGGAGTGGTCACCGCCTACAAGATGCGGGTGTACAAGTACCCTTCTTCTATATTCAGCGGGCAGATTATTTACCCTCCCGAAGCACTGCACAATGTTGCTCGAGAGACTGCCGCGTTTGCGTCACGATGCAGCGATCCCAAGATGGCTCTGCATTTATACTGTCTCGATATGACTGCGGGGACTTACGCCGGGAAGGAACCCAAACCCGGATTGGCATTCTTCGTATTCGATGCCAATGGTCCTGAGCACGGCAAAGGCCCAGGTGGATTCAAGTGGGCGTTGGACATACCAGGCGCGGTCGATTTGACCAAGACAATGACCATACAGGAGGTCAACCAGCAGTTTGACCAATCGAAGGCCCCTTTCGGTAAGATCAATACGTGGGGAGCCGGTGTGACCGTTCCAGCCGTCGACGAAGATCTCATCTTGCGCGCCTGGCACTGGTACTTGGACCTCTTGAAGAAGGACCCGAAGTTGGTCATGGGCACATATGTACTGATGGAGGTGATGCAGAAGGTGAGGAAGAACTCAGACACGACGCCTCCCCCACTGACAATGGCCAGGCTGTATATCAATCTGTCGGGTTTCCCAGCCTCGTATCGGCATGGCCGCACACCCAGAATCAGCACAACCTCCAACTGGGTACGGGGGTCGAACCTGGTTCGCCCGAGAGTGACGCTCTGGCCTACAAAGCCATGGCAGAAGGACCGTACGAGATCCGGCCCGGTCATACTGGCGCAGATTACTTTCCGAATTTCATCGAGGATTTTGTCGATCCGAAGAAGGTACGTGACGAATGATCTTCGTTTGTGGCCGTAGGAGCCTCAATGACTGACTGACGACCCCAGGTATTCGGCGTCAACTGGGACAAACTGGTCGAGGTCAAAAGGAGATACGACCCGAACAATAAGCTAGGCGGTCCGTTCGGTCATCAATGACGGTGTGATCTTATGCCCAGACGTGAGCTCCGGGAGCAATTGTGACAGGGTCTCACAGATGCCTTACGGCTGGGAGCGAGCGTCTTGACCTTTCATGGATAGGACAATATCCATTCGAGCTCTGGTAGTGATGGAATCTGAATACGATATCGGCATCCCTTGTCCCCTGCTGACCGAGAAACCCCGCGCCACCTCTTCTTCTACTCATAACAATCCCTCTCGACCATGTCTGCGTGTGCTCGTGGCCTGCAATGCAGTCCCTTCAAGCCAGTAATATGGAAATGGACGACCACGAGGTAACCATACATGTTGACCGAGCGGTGTCTGCATTGCAAGTCGTGCCACAGACATGTAGTGTCGGTATTGTCATAATCGAGATACCTGCAACACGATTCCTGCAGACTCAAGACATCACAATGAGAGTACTGTAGAACATCATCGGCTACACTCCTAGTGAAGCGCAGCGTGGGCCTCGAAGTTTGATCGGAAGAGAGCGATGTTCATTGTGCACGTGAGGGCGTTCACTTCCTCCGGTCCAGACTCGCGAAATTACGTTGAGTGAAGTCCTCGTCAGGTTTGCCCTAGCCCATGAGACATCCAGTTCCCGGCGTCGTCGAGACGATCGAGAAGACTCGCAGAGCGACGTTGATAGAATGGACCTCCTTCAATCAAAGGAAGGTATCCCGCCGTTCATGGGTGGGCGAGGCAGAAATATCGCCTATGTAATTAGACTGGGAAGCGAAGAAGGGAATACTCTCTCCGTCTTCGTTGAAAGACACTTTCATGCACATCTCTCTCTGCTGCGTTGCTCCCGACCATGACAGTGCATTGAACATGTATGGCTACGCCAGGTGATCACAGTGCCTACCGCAAGCTCATGGGACCGTGACTCGAATTACAGAGAAGACGCTGCGAAATCCGTCCTGTCACCCGGTACAGTATCAGGAGATGAAGATAAGCTTCTTAGGCCTGGACATGTGAATGATCGACAGTCAAGAAACTCGTCTCAGATATCGACGACTACGTGATACTTTACTGGGCACATGTACCGTGGACCGTGGACCTCACTACCTCCCACATTGTCCGCCGTACGGTCCTCGTACTTGGAGAACGCAATCCAATCCCATTCCATTCCATCGCATCGCCGAGGTCGGGCATGTTCCGTGATGGATGGCAAAGGGAATCTCCAAACTTCCCCAACTCCGTCAAATATGTAAACAGTACTCCGTAGACTGTACGGATGTAAGTATGGCCAGACCAAAGTGACACCCCGAATCGCATCGACGACCACGCCTCCGGTTCGATCTGAAACTGCCGTGTCGTACTCTACCCTCACCATTCCGAGTGGGCAACAATGAGAATCACACTCGAAAAGGCCGGGCGTCTCGCCGACGACGCCCTCCGGCGCATAGGCTACCCGGCCGCTGACATCCCCACGATCCGCGACCACCTCCTGGACAGCGAGCTCCGGGGCTACGGCATCGCGGGACTGGCGCGGATACTGAGCATCGCCGACCGACTTGCCGCGCGGTCGGCGGGGTCTTTCGCGCCGGCATCGTCATCATCCATCACCGTCACATCGCAATCGGCCACGACGGCGCAACTGGACGGCCACGACGCGCTGGGCTACCTGGTGGCGCACGAGGCGACGAGGGTGGCGATCGCCAAGGCCAAAGCCGAGGGGATTGCGGCCGTGGGCGCCCACAACACGTACTACACGGGCATGCTGTCGTACTACGCCGAGATGGCGGCGGCGGCCGACCTGGTGACCATCATCGCGTCCAACTGCAGTCCGTGGGTGGCGCCCGAGGGCACGTACAAGCCGCTGGTGGGCACGAACCCGTTCTGCATCGGCGTGCCCACGGCGGGGGGCGGCGTGCCACCCATCATCTACGACATCGGCACGTCGCGCATCATCCACGCCCAGGTCCTCCTGGCCATGCGCAAGGGCGAGCAACTCCCGCCGGACACGGCGTGGGACGAGCATGGCAACATGACCACGGTGCCCGAGGAGGCCCTGAAGGGCGCGCTAGCCGTGTGGGCCGGCGCAAAGGGCAGTGGGCTGGCCATTGCCGTGCAGTTGCTGGGCATTCTCGCCGGGTCGCCGGCGTTGCCGCCCGACCTTGAAGATTTCGGGTTTTTCATCATGGCCATCGACCCCGCGAAGTTCAGGCCGATGGGCGATTTCAAACGCGAGGTCGGCAACCTGATCACGGCGTTTCACACGGCCCCGTCCATGACGGGGAGCGCGCTGAGGTTGCCGTTTGAACGGTCCAACCGTCGCAGGGCAGAGACGAGAGCGGCTGGATATTTGGAAGTGGATGACATTGTAGTGGAGAAGCTGGAGAAGTTGATCTCAGCCCAGTGACCCTGGACTCTTTTCTCATACTGATCGTTCTTCACCCCGTCATAACTAAGGGTACTCGTTAGGGTACCCCCTACCGTGAAGCGTGCAATGCATTCTTGGCCTTCACGTACGGCCGATAGACAGGATCCCACATCTGCGCCTCCACCCACTCCTGCAACTCGTCGTCAGATTGCGGAATGTCCCGAGTCTGGGCCAACCCTTGCTCCTCTGCACATCGAATCACCGCCATTGCAATCTTGACACTGACTGACCTGGCGTGCTCCACATCTGGCACCAGAGCCTTCCCCGGATCGTTCATCGCGGGAGCCTCTCTGGCCAATGCCGACACCGCTGCCACGAGCATCTTGTCCGTCATCAACTTGGCCTTGCAGAGAACACCGCCGAGCCCGATGCCCGGGAAACAGACCGAATTGTTGCATTCCGCCACCTCAATCTCCTTGCCATTGTACTTGACGGGCGGGAACGGCGAGCCCGTGGCCACCAAAGCACGGCCGTCGGTCCAGTGAATGAGATCTTCGGGTTTGGCTTCGTGCAGCTTCGTCGGGTTGCTCAGTGGCAGGATAATCGGCCTGTCCACGTGCTTCGCCATTTCTTGAACGACTTCCTTCGTGAACGAGCCAGGTTTTGTTGAAGTTCCGATCAAGACATGCGGTTTCACCTCGGCGACGACGGACTGCAGAGACTTGGTGTCTTTCCCCTCCCACTCTGCCGCCTTGCGTGCGTAGGGTTTCTGGGCGATGGAAAGCGTGTCATTCATGTTGTCGAGCAGGAGCCCAGGCTTGTCCACGCACCTGAGACGGTTAGCACGGTCACCCAGGTATGCACTTGTAACTCACCATATCTGATTCGCGACCTCTTCCTTGCTCTTTTTCGATTCAGTGGCAATAGCTGTCTGCACCTGCTCTGCAATCCCACAGCCAGCAGATCCAGCACCAAAGAGTACCACTCTCAGATCGGTCATCTTTACTCGATTGATATGTAGTCCGGCCATGATCGCCGCGAGCGTCACACACCCCGTCCCTTGAATGTCATCGTTGAAGACAGTATACTCGGTCTGATATCTGTCCAACAATCTTCGCGCATTCGTCAGGCCGAAATCTTCAAAGTGAATATAAGCGTTCGGGTACAGCTTCTTCGCCGTCCTCATGAACTTGTCGACAAAATCGTCATAGCTTTGCCCTCGAACCCGTGCGAAACGATGCCCCAGATAGAGATCGTCGTTCAACAGCTCCTCGTTGTTGGTACCAGTGTCAAGCACGACGGGCAGCGTTCTGTCAGGGTGCAATCCAGCGCAAATCGTCATGAGAGCCAACTTGGCCACACTGATCAGGATTCCTCCAATACCTTGGTCGCCGATGCCCAAAATCTGCTCTCCGTCACTAACGACTATGTAGTCCACGCCGCCGTCAGGCTCACCTTCTCGCACGAACTTGCTCAGCCGCTCCTCGACTTCTTCTGGATGCTTGATGCTGAGGAAGCAACCGTCGGGTCTGCGGAAGATCCGGGAATAATTCTGGATTGCGTCCCCCTCGGTGGGCGTATAGATGATGCTGAACATCTCCCGCAAATGGTCTTGGATCAGTCGATAATACAGCACCGAGTTCTGCTCGGCCATTGAGGTCATGAACGTGTTCTTGGCGAGGTCATTTGGTTGTGCCGAGTACTGCTGATAAGCCCGATCGACTTGCTCGTCCAGTGTTTGGATATTGGTTGGAAGGAGGCCCTTCAGATGGAAGTCCACCCGTTCTTGCGATGTGAAACATGTTCCCTTGTTGTAGAAGGGATTATCGAGGAGTAGGCGGCCAGAGAAAGGTACTTCGAGCGGACCTTTCTGAGCAAGTGGGAGGTGCTCGAATTTCTTCTTCCCGTGTGTCATGGTGGCCAACGACCGCCCAAGGTGGTGTCGCGTTCGTGAAGCGAGCATTTGCACAGTGAAGTGGTAGAAGAGACTTTGCTGGGAAATTGCAGACGATGATGTCAAACACGACCCGAACAAGCTCTAAGCAAGCCGCATAATGCATAGACACTGCATGCGCCGTTGATTGGGCGGCGGATTTCATGTCCGGGCGTGTGGAGCTGTAGCCCAGTTGGGGGCCAACGCACGCCGCATCCAACAACCATCATTGCCACTGCCTCCCCTGATGGGCAACGATGGCGAGAATGAAATGCAGTGGGCGTTATCAAGCATCCACCTGGTCAAAGAACTCGTTGGCCATAATATTCACGACCATGGCAACCTCGTCAAGAGATCGCACCACCTTGACGTCGTCCGGAATGCCCTTTAACTGGTCCTCCTCGCGGGCAAGGTGAAGTGCTTCCCAGCCTGCATTTGCTGCTCCGACATAGTCCTTCGAGTATTCGTCTCCCACATGAATGCGCATCCTCTTCGCGCTATCGATCCGATACTTGACAGCCGACGCGGTCTTCCAAAATTGACTTCGAAGACTTTCCGCTGGATTGATTTCGATGCTCTGTTCGCCTCGAGACAGGCCCGTAGGATGAGCAAGCACCTCGGCGTGGTCCCAGATGCCACCGCTCGGCTTCTCGGCGTCTGCATCGTAGCTCGTACTGACGATATCAAAGTCGTTGCTGATATTGTAATATCCCCGAAAGACAGATTCAAGAGGTGTCCCCGAGGTATCGCCCGCAGCTTCGCGGGCCATTCTTGTCACGTCTTGAAAGTTGGGAAGCGCAGACGGGCCTACGCGAAAACCCAGGTCACGCAGCACCACGGTCACTCGCGGATCAGAGTTTGTGACGACACCAGTAAGGACGATCGGTCCATCTGGGTCAGTGAATCGTCTCTTCAGCGCAGCCATGCTTTGCAGAAAGGGCTTTACGTCGGGGAACGGTTCATATGCAGCGCCGGATGAAAAGTGCTGGTAGAGTGCTGAGCCCAGGTTAGACGGGAGAGCTGATTCTCCTCCCTCAACAACTTGACTGAATGCTTGCTTAACGAGCAGATGCCACCAGACCTCGGGACTCTCAAGCTTGTTCTTGCCATAGTTGGGATATGCGCTGTTGTGATGCTTGAAGGATTTCCTGAAGGCCTGGTCCAGCTCTTTGGGATCGATCTTCGCGTCCAGACCGCATTGTTGAGCAACCTGCAAGTACTGCACCGCTACCGGCTGTCGGAAAGTGTACAGTGTGCCCAGCGCATCCAGGGTGACTAGAAACATAGGGAGTCTCTGAGGCTTCACCAAGAGTGTCCTGAATATTGAGCCCAACAGGCCCATTGCTGCAGAGTGTAACTTTGAAGCTTCAGTCTGTGAAGCATAATCTGAAGCCCAACCAAAGCGAGCGAGGCCACGTACAACCAATGAAAGATAGGACAAGTTTGATTTCAGCACCGATGCCGTGATCAGAAGAAGCTCGCGAGTCCTAATTACATGAGCAAGGGCCCAAGGCGCCAGAGGAGTGAGTGGTGCGAGCTTGATTCTCTTTCTGCACCTCGCTTCGACCCGCAACCCGCCGCGGCGATTCTGCGATTCTGCGATTCTGCGATTTGCAATCCCACAAATTTGTCAATCGACGTCGCTGGAATCGCTCGTTAGATCTTTGGACTTTTCCTACTCGCTCCGTATAAGGACTCGGTCTCCTCCGTACTCTCCTTCCAAACCGCCAGAACAACCCGCCAAACTGTTCTACTCGAAGTTCCACCGTCTCTCGCGACCCGTGCGCTCCTCCTTCGGGCTGTCCCTCGCCGCTACGACTGCATCTCTCCAGAAACAGCACTCGCCCACGAGCTTCTCCTCCTCTTCGCGCGCCATGGCGCCGCCTCACACCAAAGTGGCCATCATCGGCTCCGGTCCGGCCGCACACACTGCCGCCATCTACCTGTCTCGAGCCGAACTCAAACCGGTCATGTACGAGGGCATGCTGGCCGGCGGAACGGCCGCGGGAGGCCAATTGACCACCACGACCGACGTGGAGAACTACCCGGGCTTTTCAAAGGGCATTGGCGGCTCCGAACTGATGGACGAGATGAAAGCACAGTCGTTGCGTTTCGGCACCGAGATCATCACCCAAACCATTGCAAGAGTCGACCTCAAATCTCGGCCGTTCCGGCTGTGGAGAGAATACGATGATGCAGAGTCGGACGAACCGGCACATACCGCGGACGCGGTCATCATTGCCACGGGCGCCAACGCCAGGAGATTGAATCTTCCGGGCGAAGAGACATACTGGCAGAACGGCATCTCGGCGTGCGCCGTGTGCGACGGTGCGGTGCCCATTTTCCGCAACAAACCCCTCGTGGTCATTGGCGGCGGGGACTCGGCCGCCGAAGAGGCCATGTTCCTGACAAAGTACGGATCACACGTCACGGTGCTGGTCAGGAAGGATAAGCTGCGCGCGTCCAAGACCATGGCCAAACGGTTGCTCGCGAACCCGAAGGTGACGGTCAAGTTCAACCACGTCGCGGTGGAGGTGCAGGGAGAGAACAAGCCCCGCGGCCTGATGACACATCTCAAGGTCAAGAACGTCGCCACGAATGAAGAAGAAGTGCTGGAAGCGAACGGGCTGTTTTACGCCGTGGGCCACGACCCGGCGACCGCGCTCTTCAAGAACCAGGTCGATACGGATGAGGATGGATACATCCTGACGAAGCCTGGCACCAGCTACACCAGCATACCCGGCGTGTTTGCCGCCGGCGATGTGCAGGACAAGCGGTACCGGCAGGCCATTACGAGCGCTGGAAGCGGCTGCATAGCCGCACTCGAGGCAGAGAAGTACCTGGCAGAATTGGAAGATGACGACGTCCCGGATATCGAGAAGGAGAGCCAGGCCAAGAAGCCGGAGGTAAATGGCGAGGCTGCGCCAGAGTATCGGTCGAATCCGCTGTTATGAGCATGGACAGTCTATGAGTAAAGGGCATAGAGGATAGACATCAATGGAGATTTAAGAGACACTTTCTGAGTTGGGCAATGCTTTTCTTCAAAGTACATGACTTCTAATCAGCGCCCGTCGCTATGCGCAGCAGCCAGTAGTTGTACATGGTC